AAATGTGACCCCAAGAAAATAAGAAAGCATGAAAGCTGCCTAAAAAAAAAGATAAGGAAAGGAAGGGCAACAGAGTATCTGTATCTTAGATTTAGAGGCCCCATGTACAGAAAATCAGAGACGGTAACAAAAGGAAACACTGACTAAGATCTTAATGAAAGCATAAAATCTTGCTCAAATAAACAAATAAATGTTGGAGATGAAGGCAGAATTAAATATATCTTTCATTTTTCTAATTTTTTTTCCTGTCTTATAAAGACTAACCATGAAGACACTCAACACTTAAAAACAATTAGATAAGAAGTACTCTAAAATCAGACAAACAGTCTCAATTATCATGTTAAAAACAAGCTCATTACTTATAAAAGTAAAACTATGAGGATCTTATTCTAGTCAAAGCTCTTTTATATAGTATACTTTGCATCCATTTGGGGATGGGTTTTTTTTTTCCCTTTTTCCATTCCATTCATTAAAAATAATGATTTTCTCCCCTCTGTAAAAGTGTAATAAACATCCAGTTTGTCTTTTAAAATACAGTTGTCAAACTTTAAAGGGTAAACATACAGATTTATCCTAGAGGTCTTTAAGGCACAGAGTCTGTTAGGAATAATGTCTTGTGTCCATATGAACTGTTACCCAGGGAGCCATATGGAACCTTATATGTAATATTTTATTTTTTTAAATAAGCTATAAAGGATATTAAAAGTGTCTACTTGAAGTTGCACTGCAGCGCTTAACTCCTGGGATGCAGTGGTTTCACGGTGCATGCTACTAACTACACAAACACTTTTGAACTGGCAACTTGTGGTAAGAATAAACTATAAACTCCATAACAAGAAAACTTTTTCTCCTTTCTACTGGAATATTTTCATCTTGAGAACACTGACAAAAGAACACAAAGAAACATGGGAAAGATGAAGCCTAGAAACCATCCTTTAGGGACAATGACGACAGGTTTAAGTTCTAGTTTTACAAAGAAGAATCTGTGTCTGTGTCTGTGGGTGAGGGTGGTGTGTCTGTGTGCAGGTATGTGTATATGAGAAAGAGAAGGGGGGAAGAGAGGAAAGAGACAGAATGAGGCAGAGACTGATCAAGTGGTTGGTTATTTGGTTTGATTCAGTAGATTTGTGGTCAGCTACATTTTCAACATAAAGTCAACATCCCTAAATTAAACAATACTATCAATCAGAGGAGATTTTAGTGAGATGAAATACTGTGGAAGAAGCTCTAAGTATCATACAAGTCTAGAACTAGGCCGCTGTGTGTGCTAGCTAGACAGGAGAGCAAGACTGGTACAAAACAAACCAGAAGAAGACCCCACGACAAGGCAGTATAGAATAGCAAAGCTAGTAGGCTAAGTGATAGGAAAGCTCTGGGCCAATTCTTCTTAAATGGAGCAGTCACATACTGGTGAGATTATGAGATGCTACACTGCACCTAATGACAAAATTATTTATACAGTGTCAAAACATCATCCAAACCCCAAGAAGTGCACACAGCTAGTAATAATATAAGGCTACTTAGCTGGGCAATTATGGAATGCTGTACCTAGCCAAATTCATAAATCAAGTAGAGAACTTCACAGTATACCAGTTTAAGGATAACTTCAGAATGGCAGGTACTGAGCATCATAAACAAAGACTGTTATCAGTGTGTTCACGAGTCTATCCTATGAAAAAGAAAGTATCCCATGTAGTTCCTTATTTGTGTTTTGAGGAAAAGCCTCAAAAGAGTAAAATTTAAATAACCTGTGACTTCTGAGGATTAAGAGAACATCACAGATTCACAGACCCAGAAAAGCACCTAGTGTCTGGCCCTCCAGCCTCCAACAACAATCAAGAACTGTGATACATCTCAAGACTGGGAGAAGTACCATACCCACTTCTAACAGTAAAATATAATAATATGTATTTTAATCAAGACATACTTAGGTTTAATTTAATTAAATAATTTACCATGCTTTAACTGGAACTAAGACAGAATAGTTGTTAAGACAATGGGCTTAAGAAGAACGAATAGTATATAATCTTTGCAAGTGGTCACACTCGAACTCAAATCACATACCCAACACTAATCCAGGTACTGTGCAGCCTTTCATCAGCCATTTATGGCAATCCAGGGGTTCTGTCCTCATACTTGTACTTCATGGTTGCAGATACCACAACCAGCCAAATGTAAGAAAGGGGAGTTGGCCTTCTTCTTTTATAAGTAAAATTTAAAAACCAGTTTGCTGGAAGAAATCCCAGAAGTCACCCACTTAACTCTAATTTGCCACAACTTGGAGACTGATTAACCCAAGATTCAAGGAGAGTAGGGAAAATTTGGCAAAAGAGAATGGGATCATCCTAACTAATTTTTTTTTTTTTTTTTTTTTTGAGATGGAGTTTCGCTCTTGTTACCCAGGCTGGAGTGCAATGGCGCGATCTCGGCTCACCGCAACCTCCGCCTCCTGGGTTCAGGCAATTCTCCTGCCTCAGCCTCCTGAGTAGCTGAGATTACAGGCACGCACCACCGTGCCCAGCTAATTTTTTGTATTTTGAGTAGAGACAGGGTTTCACCATGTTGACCAGGATGGTCTTGATCTCTTGACCTTGTGATCCACCCGTCTTGGCCTCCCAAAGTGCTGGGATTATGGGCTTGAGCCCCCGCGCCTGGCCTAAAAACTTTTCATATCTTTAAAAATTTCCACAGAGCTCAGACTTACTTGGTGTAACAAAAGGTTACTCTCACACTTCAATCGAGGATTGAATGCATGTATTTGTTAACTTAGTATCTAAATGTTCATACTACCTCAGTTTTGCTAAAATGTTCAAAAAAGTTATGTAGCAAAGAGTAGATAAGTTATCACAGGTCAACTATAACTATAAGTTAAACTTGTAAGGTACATCTTTGGGTTAAAGACTGATTAGATTAGTATAGTTAACTGCAAAGGCTAAACTTGAAATGGCAGAACTTGAAAGATGACAGATACCATTATTAGGCAGTGGAGGTTATGGCTACCAGAGAGTAAGGCTTTACACCACTGTCTTTAGATATCCACCTCTCAAATTAGACTGCTTCAAAGACCACTGTGACACTTATCCTCAAATGCTGCAGGCTTCTAAGGGAGTAGGGAAGCCATAGGCACAGAAGTGTTTGCATGCTATCCACACACATATATTTGTGATACAATAATGTAATTCTGAAAAACTGCATAATCAAAATGAAATCAAACAACAGACATAGAAATGTCTCATTTTAATGTTCAAATCACTGTAGAAATTTATTATACTGAATGGTACTGTTAAATGAAAAAGTGCCATAAAGTCAACTGGATTACTTGACCTTAAGTAATACAATATAATTGGTGCTGCAAAAGCACAATTAAATGAGATGTGAAAGCAACCATAAACAGTCATATTTTAACACAGTAACAGTCTTATCATTGCCTTTACAACTTTTATAACAACATGTTCATTGAAATGTCTCATACTATTAGTGAATCAACAATATTCACTTAGTGATATCAGAATATAAAACAATAAATTATGTAAAGAAGGATATACTTTAGATTTGAAAAAATACAAAATTCTGAACACGCACTAGAACAACATTTTACCTTTTAAATCCTAAGCCATGTAACTGGAATGCTCACTACTATTCCATCTGACACTGTGCATTCTCAGAGAAATACTTGGTTTTCATACACAAAATGGGTAACTCTCTGAATCCCTCAAGTTCCTACTAAAAACAGCAAGCTACATTTAAGTCACAAGCTGCCATGTCTCCTGAGGCTGGTCCACTTTAGAGGCAACAGATGGGCAGAGGTACTGGAGGCGAAGCAGGCACTGCAGCTTCCAACATGACCTTCCTCTAAAAACCTATCTGCTCTAACTCCATTCATTATCAGCCCAGTACTTTTCATTCCTGCCCAAACCAATGCAGTCTATACACAGGGGCCCACAATGGCAAGAACATTAGATATGTTAACCACTATAGGATAGTCTTCCACTATTTAACCATCAGGAGAACACACAGGAATAAGTACAAACAGAGAATAAGAAGGAAGAGATGTTCAAGGGGATTCCACCCTACCTGTTCCCTCAGTAAAAAGATAATGAGTATTTACCTCCATCTTTTCAGTGTGTCCCATAAGACTCTTTTTTTTTCTAAATTTTATTATTATTATTATTATTATTATTATTATTAGAGATGGGGGGGTCTCACTTCACTGCCCAGGCTGGAATGCAGTGGCACGATCCTGGCTTACTGCAGCCTTGGGCTCAAGCAATCCTCCCACCTCAGCCTCCTGAGTAACTGAGACCAGAGGTACATGCCACCATGCCCAGCTTATGAGACTCTTTCTAATACTTCTTCCTAGTTCCTACTTCCTAACAAATCAGAATACAGAATTGAGTTCTGAATAATAAATACGTTTCAAACTTACTCATCCTCAAGAATAAGTCAAAGGTTACCAACTCTATAAAGCCACCTCCAGTTTGTCACAGTCCAAATCAACCTCTCCATCTTTCATCTTTCATTGCACTTGCCTATCTCTATCTCAACAGGCTTTAAACCCTTGGGAATATCCACCTTTCAACTCTGATTCCTACTACAGAGCAGATACAATGAACCAAACTAAAACAGTATACTCAATAAAAAAGGCATTAAAGGTGTTTTTACGAACACCTCACCCCCCAAAAAAACCCAATGGACCCAAGATCCACTCTTCTCTCAGGTCACAAATTGTTACCCATACCCACACCAATGTATATAATGAAATCACAAGACAATAAGAAAAGACATATGGTTGGTTCTAAATGAAGCTCCTTTTCTAGTGACCAGGTGTCCTTAAAGGATGAGTGTAGTCCACTGCTCTGCTTTCTTTAAAGAAATATCTACTATACTCATAATAACCAATTCCATAGTTGGAGAAATTCTTAAAGATGCTGATAGAGAAGCAACATCCTCATAAAAGGTACTTTTTTAAAAGCTGCAAATGCACCCTGAGCTCTAATTACCTGTAATGCTCACTGATGGGAATGTTCTGAGAGAAGTATAAAGCAGATGTCCGAGCTCTCCAATGCCATTTCTTTGCAGGAAGGGTATAAAGCACACAGTCTCCTAACTCTTCTTGGAGAAGATCCACCAGCTGTTTATGGGACCCTCCATAGAATGCTTCAATAATAAGAATACTCATTGGCCCATTCAAACCTTCAGATCCTAGATAACAACCAAAAAATGTTTATTTTTTTCCATTACATACATGTATAAAATTGTAATAAAAATAAGTTCAAATTTTATACTCAGAAAATACAAATAATTAAGCAGTTATTTTTTAAAATAGGCTTATCCCATTATTTTAAAGGGTATATAACACTTAAAGTTTTATATCATTGGTGTTAAGAAGAAGAAATAAAGGTGTCTTTATTTTTCTGATTTGTTCTCCTCATGTCCTAAGATTATCTCCACTATGACTCGTAGCTTTTTTCTTCAACCAGAAAGCTGAAAGCCCTCACCTGCTGTGAACACTCACTTCCTGGTTTGTTCAGCTATAAGCCTGACTCAGTAATCTCAGAAACTACTTAACTTAGAGCTCTAGTTTTAGACTGTCACTGAACTCATCTTCTAATGATGACTTCCACTTCAAGAGCCCTTCATTTTTAAAGCCCTTTCTGGTTCAGAAACTCTCTGATTCTGTAACTCCTGCATTATTCCATCTTTAAATTCAACAGGTATAACTGTCCCCAATGAATACGTATTTAAAAAGACAGTGTATCAACCACATACAAATCTCTATTTTCTAGTGTTAAAAATTTCAGGATACAATTTGAGACACTACACATACTTTGATCAATTCCCCAAACTTGTCAATATATCATCCTGAAAGAAACACTGAAACTGTGTGGTAAAGTTGTATGTGTGTGAACGACTAAGGTTTATACAACCTTCCTTTAGACAAGCGACCTATTAAGAGGGATAAAGTAGCAATAATGGGGTTATTAAAGACATGATGAAATTTCATCACAGAGAATCGGCTAACAAGCAATTTTTCATTTTACTATAATTTTTGTTAATATGCTCAGTGAAATAAAAAGATATCTATGAACATAAAATATCTCATATGCATTCCAAATTATATGTTATTTCCTGTAAGACATAGGGGGAACACATCATTCCATGCATAAATGCTATATTGCTTAAGAAATATTCCAGATGTTTGAATTTTCCTTTATGACTTAAGTAAATATCATTCATTAAATAGTGTATTCCTTTCCTTAATGTTGTTCCACAAAATTATTAGTCTCAATGACTCATGATGTTCTTCACTAATAAAACTACACTTCACTTTGTTCAAAGTAATGGCTACTTACATTGCATTTCAAAGCAAAAAGGCTTCTTTTTGATGTCTAAATTTTCCAATGAGCAATTGGGAGGATGAGGGAATATATCTATATATTATGGGGTGGGGGGGAGGGGTTGTGTGTGTGTATTTCATTTATATGCAAAATTAGAAGCAGTGGTCCTCAGGTGGAAAAGGCATGAATCCTAGGATCAAGGACATACATGTCTGAAACTCAGCTCTGTCACTTTCAAGCTGTATGACCTTGAACAAGTACCTAACTTTGCAGGACTCAGTTTCATCTTCTCCAAAATAGAGACAACAGTACTAACCTCAGAGTGTGTTGTTAAGATAAAATCAGAAAATGCATGTGAAGCATAGCAGACTGTAAACAGTAAGAAGGTATTTAGCCCATCTCGTCATTAATATAAATCACTCTCCTTAGGAGAAAGTATCTCTTCAAATTTTCTGGCATTTTAAAATCAATAATTTTCAATCATTGTCCCCTACCCAACAGGAATAGATGAAAAAGGTGGATATACATATGCATTTGAAATTGCAGTGGGTGTTTACCCATCCCATGTCAGCAGCTTGCATTTTAAATATGAATTTGAGAGCCCTGAAGGTTTTGTGGGTAAGAGGAAAGCTCAGAGGCTGAGCCATGCAGAGTTCATGGTCCACTGGAGACTTCTGCTCTAATAAGGGAGTGTTCAGTAAGTTAACAGGCACCCTCTAGGTTCAACAAAGTGATAGCCATTAATCCTTCAAATGATGGAAATTTCTAGAAAGTAACTGAAAGAACAATAAAAGGCAATTTTGAAAATTATACCAAAGGTTTCAAGAAAGAAAAAATATAAACAGTTTAACATTAATTTGCTTATTTCACCACATCGCAGATATCTACTACCTTGCTTTATTTTCTCTAACCTACTCACACTAAGGTGTATTAAACATATGCCCTGTATGTACTTAAAAGGTTTCTAAAAGGGTCTTGTAAATATGACCTATTTCCCCAAGTGATGAAATGTGTTATAAACCACTCTAAAGAATATTTCACTCATCTAACCTCAAAGAAAGCAATATCAATACTGGAAAAGAAAACTGCTTTCTGATTCTCCATCATCTTATCCTTTTCCATGATTATTCTAAAGTACATATCATGACATATTGTACAGATGTTTCTGATGGGTCTCGTTCACAAGTTATCTGCAAATTATCAGCCACTATGGAGGCAGTACATGTTGGTGCTGCTATAGATTCAAGACACTCATTAGGCAGAACTGAACTAAGCATGTGGGAGGCTGAAAAATAGAAAAGGGGGAAAAAAGATTATAGTTATAGATTTCCACCCCTTTGACAGCTCAGTAAGAAGGGTGAAATGTAAAGGTTTGAACTAGTGTTTACGTGAGCATTTTTTCTGGTGGCCAATGGGTGTGCCTGCATTTTGGGTGTTTTTCTAGGGAAAATAACTATGTCCTACCATCTCTGAAAAATATACTTAGTGGCTTTGATTCATGGAAATTTGTTCTGCTTGTTTTGTGGAGACAGACATATCCTGGCAGTTCCCCCACTTACTTCTATTGTAACTTTTGCAGCAAGATGAAAATGTGTTCTTCCCTACGGTCTTCTTGAAGTACAACCTGGAAGAAAGATGATTCCCATTAGATACAAGTAAAAGGGGGGAAGCTGATTTTTAAATATATGATTCAAACCAAATGGCATATAGTACATTAAAGAACACTTCAAATATTTTGGCTGTGTTTGAGTTTTGTTTTAGAAAACTGCTTGAAACAAGCGTGAGGTTGAAAAAAGAAAAAAAATAACCCACTTCACTGCTATGGTGGAATTTGCTAAAATATAAAGGGAATACACTATTTGCCCATTTCAGCAATAGTCAGAAAGATCTACAAGTGGTCACCTTGATACACAGATGTTCACAAGCATGTAGGGTGAATGCAGACATTTTTGCACCACTAGCAAAGGCTACTAAAGAGTACTTGGAAGCAGCAATAATAAGGCCTCACTATTGAAAGCGCTAACTCCAAAGCAAGAACAGAGTTTCCTTTATAGGAGGAGGCTATGGCCAGGTGTTCGCCAGAAGACGGTAGAGAGCCAAATGTCTTCTGTTGGTGCCTCAGTTTATGAATCTGTTAAAGCATTGTCACAAATACCACAAGAGACCTTAAATTATGAAACATTTAAACTGATTAAGAATACAAAAATTAGGCTGCACAGAGTGAAGTGGCTCATGCCTGTAATCCCAGCACTCTGGGAGGCCCAGACTAGTAGATCACCTGAGGTCAGGAGTTCGAAACCAGGCTGACCAACACAGTGAAACCCCATCTCTACGAAAAATACAAAATTAGCCAGGCCTGATGGCGCATGCCTGTAATCCCAGCTACTTGGGAAGCTGAAGCAGGAAATCGCTTGAACCCAGGAGGCAGAGGTTGCAGTGAGCTGAGACAGCGCCATTGCACTCCAGCCTGAACAACAGGAGGAAAACTCCATCTCAAAACAACAACAAAAGAATACCAGAATTAGGGGTGTGGCACTTTAAAAGGAAGAAACAACAAAAAACTAGGTTGGAAAACAAATACCAACCAGAAAACCCATGTCGTTTTTGCATGGCACTCATAATGGTCTTATACAACATTAAGAAAAGAGTAAATATGTCAGCTCCATGCTTGCTCCCTAAAAGAGCATATAATATATCAGATAAATTTTTATCAATTTTTAAGTTTTTCTGCTTAAACAAGCTTCAGTTAAAGAAAAACTCACTTCCTCAGCATAACTTATTCCCCAGTGACACCAGATGAATGAAAACCTAGTATACTACTTAAGCTTTATGAAAGTTTAATTCATTATCAATACTGTGATTTAATGGTACATGGTTAAATGCTAAATATCAAATTTGGAAATATAAAATATGTCAAAGTGATAGCTGTTAACACAGAAATTTTATATCATTTCAAATTCTATTTAAGTTCAAGAGGGGTCAAAATGATCTATTTAAGAATTGTCTGGCATTTAAAAAAGTATATTTATAATTGAAAGAAGATACAACATGAAAATATCAATAGTATTTCAAACATTTTGACCAAAATGAAAATCACCATTAGCATCATCCCAACTAAAAACTAATAATGCATTGATAAGATCACAGAGAACAAAAGTAGCCTGAAACCAATGCTGTGAATATTTTTAAATTTTTATCAAAACTTTTTGTCATTGTACCTGCATTTATTTTAAGCTTGACCCAATTTCTTTATTCCCTAAGCTATGATCATTTTCAAGGTGAACTACATTTTTGTCTACCTCATTTAGCACTTAGACTGCTGTGGTAGTTGAAATGTTTTTAACAGTATAGATATTAAAAATCTGCAATATGCCATTGATTTACTGAAAAGTATATGTTAAATATAAATACATCATGTCAATTTAAAAAAATAAATAAATTTTAGTCACACTGAAACCCATAATTAGCCTTCATATCTGACGTCAATTTTGTTACCTATAATATTCAAATCATTTTCCAACCAAAGACCCAGCAATAATTTTAAATCAGAGGAATTGTTGTATTAATATATTCCACAGACACCTTTCTGTTATTGGTTAGTTGTAGGAAGGTATAGTTTCAGTGATGATGGTTTTAACGGTTTTAATCCCACACACATGAGAAATTGATTCCACAAGCTAATCCACATATATACCTTAAAACTTCAATCAATTGTTGAAAATACAGTTTTGATTTACCTATATGTAATATTTGGAAACTTAAGCTTGTTAAAGCAAAAAATTGTGGGCTTAAACACTAAATGGTTTAAGTTGGGGAAAGTGAAACTTGAGCAGTATTTCTCAGTAGGTCATCAGAAGTTTACCTGGTATTTTCTTATTGACCCTTTCTCTCCCTTCCCTTCTGCACCTCCACCCACCAACACACCCAGGTTCTATTTAAAAAGCAACCAATAATCCAGCAGAGTAAAATAGGGCAGTGCTAAGAAAAGTTAGTATCACCTTCCAGCCCACTCACTTATTTTAATGATTCATCACGGAAACCCCAGTTGTTAAAATATACCTGAAATCTCATTAAATAGTAAAAATAAGCATTGAAAAGTTCTCTGCTTTAAAACATGTCACCAGTGATTCCCCTAACAGAATCTGTTAAGAGTGAGTGTGAAGTAAAAATACAATTTGCTAAAAAACTTTCCTCAAAGTAATGTACTACAATCAACTATCATATGGGGAAAAAAAGAGACAAGATAAACAGATTCTATTAAAAAGCTATTTTTTTAATTCTTCTATAAAAATCAGGCACAGCAAATTCATCTTAACCTCTAAAACCAGAATATACCTCTGAAAACTGAAGTATAATCTGCTATCGAATGCAAAGTAGTAATTTTACATACATAAACTCTATGCACTGAAAACATTCTATACAAATTTAAACAAAGTTTGGCTAATAGGAATGAATCTGTTTCTGGAGCATTAGTCTGAACTGCAAATAACACTTGATGGATACTGATCATTATTCCATTATTTGGTTAGGGGACATACAGTCTAACATTTATGATAACTTGTATACCACCATATGTACTTAAATAGCAACATTTTGATTTAATTCTGGGTTCAAATTGACAAAGATGCGGTAAGCTAACAATGTATATCCCTTTTAATGTTATGGATATGCTAATCTCTTCAACTCTGATTTTTGTGTCTTGTTGTAGAGACTAAGAACTAAAAATTCATGTATCAAAACCAAGATTTGGTAGGAAAATTTATACACCATACTTTCTGAGAAAATTTAAAGCTATTTTCAAATGTGCTTTTCCAATTACATGAGTTGCAATGATCTTTTTAAAAAATACTCTTTGCAAAGTTAGCATCTTATATGTATTTGTGACCGTTTAATTTTCCCTGATAATATTTCCTTTTTTGTTCGTTTGGAATTTTACTTTCTGCTTAAAAGTATCAGCCATGGCTGGGTTCAGTGGCTCATGTCTATAACCCTAGCACTTTGGGAGGCTGAGGTGGGAGGATTGCTTGAACCCAAGAGTTTGAAACCAGCCTGGGATGCTGTGAGACTCCATCTCTATAAAATATTTAAAAATTAGCTGAGTATGGGAGTGTGCACCCATAGTCCTAGCTTCTCCAGAGGCTGAGGCAGGGAAATCACTGTGCCCAGGAGTTTGAGGTTAGTGAGCCATGATTGTGCTACTGTACTCCAGCCTGAGTGACAGAGCAACGTCCTGCCTTTATTTAAAAAAAAAAAAAGTCAGTTATTCCAAGACTTGAATTAAGAAGGTTTTGGTTAAAATTCAGAAGTATCAAATGCAAATTTAGCAAATAGTTACTGAGTACTTATGACGTACTAGGCACTATGACATCATGTACTTGTTTTCAAGTATGTACAACTTTTGCAAATAACTAGTTAAGTATACAAGTTCAATATATTTTTGTGAGGCTGTGTTCTACATTATATAGCAAAATCACAAGGTATTTGTTTGTGTCAGAAGTTGAGTGGTTTAATTCCACTGACAAAATATTAACCCCCTTTCAATTTTCAAATGCTATTAATTCCATGAATAATTTCAAACTATAAAAGCAGTAATGAATTAGTTCTACTGATTACCACAAATATTTTTAATTTCCCAGCATTCACAAACGTGGCAGCATATTTATGAATACAAAGTTTTACACCAGAAAATCATCTCACCACTCATTTAAAGCATCTCATTACCCTTTTAACTAGGTCTCCATGCTACCATACAATCTTGTTTCCACCATTCTCCTTAAGCTAATCACAAATAATCTTTACAAAATGGGCGTCTGACCATAAAATGACAAGCTCAAAACCTTAAATCACCTAAGGATAAAATCCAAAGCCCTACACATGGCAATTAAGACTCATTTCCTGGCCCCTTCCTTTTTCTTCACTACAGCCACATTTGGCCTTCTCTTACTTCAATCCTTCTTCCCCAGCTTCCGCAGCCTCTACTTTGCAGCAATACCAAACACCCACACTCCAGAGCTGTTTTACGCTCTTATGACTTCACACTTTTATCTCACCTCTATCAGCCTTTGCTCTCTGTTCACCTAATGAACTTTTGTCAAAATTTCTGCTCATGAATCACCATTTCTATGAAGCCTTTCCCTGAACTTCTCCTAAACACGACTTCCTTTATACTCTGTACAGTAGAATTATCATTGTTTCACTGTAGTCACATGTTCTGCTTCTCCATGGAGCTGTGAAAATCTGAAAATGGATGCTGTGGCATTACATTCCTGAAAGTTATCTAAGGACTTGACACATAGACAAACTACGTTTTGCTGGAGGTGAAGTGAAAATCAGGGGGACACAGGAAGTCCCTTTCTTCTGCCTTTAAAGTAACACTGCTTTCACTTAACACAGATTCTAAGCAACAAGTGTTAGGCAGCACTGTACTTGATACTAATGATTTCCCATTATTCCTGAAGTCTAAACTAAATCAAGCAGCACGTATATCTGGACACATTTTATTATGTTCGGTTTCAAATATGGATTCCTTTTTATTGTTGACAGAAGCAGAATTTATGGGAAATAATTTTTTCATATAGATATGTGTTTATTTTAAACTACCAATACAAGAGAAGTAATACTGAT